GGGGGTTGTGCTTACAGCCCAACACTGTGCAGAACATTTGGCATTTGCCAGAGAACACCAAGATTGGCAAATTAGCCACTGGCGCCCTGTGCTCTTCACAGATGAAAGCAGGTTCACACCGAGCACATGTGACAGACATGAGAGTCTGGAGACGCCATGGAGAATGTTCTGCTGCCTGCAACATCCCTCAGCATGACCGGTTTGGCAGTGGGTCAGTAATGGTGTGGGGTGGCATGAGACCATATGCTGATGCGGTTGGCCCTGGGTTCCTCCTGATGCAACACAAAGGCATTGATGTTATGGACTGGCCTGCCCGTTCCCCAGACCTGAATCCAATTGAGCACGTCTGGGACATCATGTCTCGCTCCATCCACCAACGCTAAGTTGCACCACAGATTGTCCAGGAGTTGGCGGATGCTTTAGTCCAGGTCTGGGAGGAGATCCCTCAGGAGAACATCCGCCGCCTCATCAGGAGCATGCCCAGGCGTTGTAGGGAGGTCATACAGGCACGCAGAGGCCACACACACTACTGAGCCTGATTTTGACTTGTTTAAAGGGCATTACATCAAAGTTGGATCAGCCTGTAGTGTGTTTTTCCACTTTAATTTTGAGTATAACTCCAAATCCAGACCTCCATGGGTTGATACATTTGATTTTCATTGATATTTTTTGTGTGATTTTGTTGTCAGCACATTCAACTATGGAAAGAACAAAGTATTTATTAAAAATATTTCATTCATTCAGATACAACGTGTTCCCTTTATTTTTTCGAGCGTGTATATACATATATATGTATATATATATATATATACATATATATTTATGTATATATATATGATTGGTTGGTGTAGAGAAAACAACCTCTGCATCAACGTGGGGAAGACGGAAGGGGGAGACATCCCCTGCACATTCGAGGGACAGCGGTGGAAGTGGTCTCCAGCTTCAGGTACCTGGGAGTACACATCTCCGATGACCTCACCTGGAGAACCAACACTTCCTGCCTGATCAGGAAAGCACACCAGCGCCTCTACTTCCTCGGCAGACTGAGGCGCACCAGACTGGGGCACTCAGTCCTAATTTTTTTTCTACAGGTGTATGGTGGAGGGTGTCCTGTCCTGCATCATCATGTGGCACGGCAGCTGCTCGGCGACGGAGAAGAAGGCTCCGCACAGGGTGGTGAAGGCTGCACAGAGGACCTTGGACACACCCTAACCACCAACACGAACATCTACACCATCAGATGCAGGAAACCGGCCTCCTGCATCATGAAAGACCCCACTCACCCTGCAAATGCTCTGTTTGTCCGCCTCCCCTCAGGAAGATGGCTACGAAGCATCAAAGGCAGGACCACCAGAGTGAGGAACAGCTTCTTCCCTGAAGCTGTGAGACTGCTGAATTCCGGTGGACCCCTGTAACCTCCCCCCCCTCCCCCCCCACACACACAGAATTTGCTAAAAATACTTCACTCATTCAAGATAAAACATTGTTGTGCAAACTCTAAAGGAACATATCACATACCATATTACCATATTTTAATAGTCTATTTAGCAATCCTTACAATTTTCTGAAAACAAAGAGTCATGAGATTTTCTTTAACCTTCTTAGTTAGTTTATGGTAACAGTTAATACACTTATCTCTCCTTACTTAGTTTTATATTTTCTCAAGACACATACTTAAAATTGACAAATGTAATTAGTGCTTAAAATACTTTTGAGTTAAAGTAGGCACACTTCTCAAATCATTGGCAGAATCTAATGCACATTAGCCAGACACAATCTAGTTTGTTGTCCATGTATATACATATTAACATATACATATTACATTCATATCAAAATATTTGTAGAGTAAAATGTCATGTCTAAATTGATTTAATTTATGTGTAGATGAAGTAACTGAGACAATGGTTTAGTGAATACTCTGATGACTGTCCTTCTCCTCAATGTTCCAGAGACAAGTTTATCTACTATTTTCACTCTAAGCTGAAGTTCCAGCAGATCCTCCCGACTTAGTGCCGTGAAGTAGAAATCTTCATTAAACACAGGGTTGCGGCTGGTCTTAATGGTGGCACTCTTTTGTAACTGCAACTTCCCTGGTGTCAAACACAGAATCAGTGCACAGTTCAGGGGTTTTTGATCAGTGTCATTCCAATGGCTCTCCACAGACACTAGACGTATTCTGACAGTAGAAAGGGACAAGATGGTGTTGGAGGAGAAGGTGGTGCTCTCAGCAGAGAGTTTAACTTTACCTCGGCCCTGCAAGGGAATGACATGCTCTCGAGGCAGTCTCACCTGGCACCGAAGAACATCTAGTGGGAAGAGTACAGTTGGAGCCAGTGTTAGTGAGCTTCCAAACGAGCTGGGAGGGTTATTTGGAAAGGTGTGTAAACTGACAACCTCTCTCCTCATTCCGCCAGTCTCCTCCTGACTACCAGGTAACACAGGGCAAGATGTGGATGAAGGAGTTTTGTTTTCTGTACTTCCTGTCTCTGATATGGTTTTCCCTAACGTTAGAGAAAAAAATCCAGCCACCGTATTCTTGGGTGGGTTTCTCTCCCTTGTCACCTTTTGTGCTGCAGGAGAAATTTTTTTGTTAAGTGTGTATGCAGGAAACTTTGGGTGGAACAAAGATTCCTTCCTTCGAGTGTTCGGACTTTGATAAATTCCAGCCAGACCAAAACTCTCAGCAGAGAATGGCAGAGCTCTCTTCACATCCTTACAAGCCATTAATGCATTGCTATTCCTTACTTTGGAATCCTTTGTCATTACCTGCATGCTGTTAAAGAATGTACTTTGTTCTTGGTTTTTCCTGAGCAGGTGAGAAGAGGGTGTTTCTGCTTCCTGCAAAATGTTTCTCCTTGAGAGCCTCGGAGGCAAGCAGAACTCTGGGATCTTGTCCGGGGTCAGGATGTTGCTGTGCACATTAAGAGACATGCAGGTCTTGCGAGAATTAAAGATATACTCCTTACTTTGTTCTATGGTATGACACAGCTCAGAGGGAATGTTCTCAATACTGTCCCTGATCTTTTCAAAGAGCCACATTGTTCTTCAGTGTTCTAATAACTATCAAAAACATTTGGAAAAAGAAGTCCTTACCTGTCCTTGTCGCACCAGTCACTGAAGACCTGAATGAATGAATGTAGGGTGTCCTGCCTTATAAAGGCGAGTGACAAGCACTGCCTCAGTGGTCTTTCACCCCCTTCACCTGCATCAAAAAACAGGTTGCACACACGTAGACACAGCAGAGTGCACAAGCATCAAGTTCATTCATGTGCATTCAGTTGTACTATGTGAGTTTGAGGTATGTGTTTGCAAGAAGTACACCAAAAGTACATCAGCACTAAGATTTGACTTTCTCTTAGGCTGGAAATGTAAAAAAAAAAAATTAAAATTAATTCTACTAGGCAAATACAGCATACAATCGATATATAAGTTAAACACTGTATCATATGTCATTTTTTAGATAAAATACTAAGTATAAATGCAATACATCAATATTTGTAATTAACAAACTCATTGACAGCATACTGTATAACCTATCTGTTCTCTGTTAAAACAGTCATAGGAAGTATGGTGTTACCTCACTTTACAAAGACCACTCTAGTTGTGCATTGCTGTGATCTTGATGACGTCAGTCCAATGTGATATGGTTGGATCTGACCTCTTGTTCAAAGTTTACTCAAAGGCTCCCACTATCATCCCTGATCACTACAAAGACCCACTGACCTTAAAACAGCCAGCAGCCCGGACATTACTCAACATTTCGAGCTCTCTGATCAGTATTTACAGTATTCTTGATTCAGGTTAAACTGGGTCATCAACTTTTTTTTAATATAAACCAACTAACCTATGATCAGCCTCTGACACCTTTAAGTTGTGTAAAGATGTGTAAAGATAATTACGTTTATTTAATCTAAAAAAAAAAAAAACCTTGTTGTTTTGAATATAAGAATATAAGAAAGAACAATAATTAAAAAAGCTTTTGCTTAGCAAAGTAACCAAAAGACACTTAATTAAAATTAATGTAATAACATAACTACCCTAGAAAATCATCATTTAAAATCTTAAAATTATTTTCTTACATGTTGATCAAATTTAATCACTTTAAAATTTGAAAATGAAGAAAAAAGGTCTTTAATATAAATATAACATTTATAATCAGTCAGTTATGACTCATTTCATACTCTCGATTTAAATATGTTTTCTAAAAACCATACTGTCGTACAATTGGATGAAATTGCAAAATATTTTCTGCTGAAGAATTCGTGTTCATAGACTGTTAGGACCATATTAACCACAAGAGAGCGCCCGTTCAATATAGTAATTGTTCAGCGCCTGTCTTGGCTTCATTAACAATGACCCCCTAATTAAACATCATGTAAGTCGGAAACATGAGAGAGAAGGAATGAACACGAAGTTCCTGATTTCATTTAGGAAGAGTCAGGGGCTCGTGTAGCACCCAGGGGTCAGGAGGCTTTTTGTGTTAGTGATGAATTACTTTATTACTCCAATAAAAACCCGCAGTGCTCTCAATAATGGAAAGATAAATGATCATGAGTCAGACAAAGACCTTCCTTTAACCGCTGTCACAGCTCCAATTAACGCTAACGAGAGAACAGGGCTTTGTTGCCAAACGCTCCACTGCTGATCAAGTACATTAATGTAAAAATCTTTCGTTCTGAAGTGCCACATTTTTAAAAGAATAACTCATCACTTTAATATTGTGGGCTTCATTTCTTTAATTTATTAACTAATAAACCAAAATGCTTTACTGCTTGTATCTGACATCTTTGTGTTTTATTCCCCATAATCACATTACGAAATGATCCAAGACAAACTCTGAAAACACAGTCCTGCAGACATTTGGTCTTTCACCATTAGAACTCTAAAGTACTCTAGGAAGTACCCATACACAGTATACTATATAAGGGAAAATATAGGATATGTAGGATAATTAATAAGTAAAATGCAGAAATCACAAAAGGCAGCAGGAGAAAGAGATGCACTCATTTATAAGTTATATATATATATATATATATATATATATAATGAAATAATCGATGATGTACTTTATTGTGTTTCATGTGCATGTGACCTTTCCTCAAACACACACGCCTGCCACTGGAAATGTCTTGCATAAAACTAGTCACAAAAATATCAGGAATCAGGGTTTTAGAGCATGTTCAGTTTATGGTCTCGATCAGGATAAAATAGAGATATAATCATTTTGAGCAAGAGCACTCCATTCAACTGCATTAACACCAGCTCTCTCAGTCGTAGGGAGACGGTCCATGCTTGAGGACAGACACACTTTCCCTCTGAGGTACCTTTTACTTTCATTTTCTTAAATGCATATCAGCCACATGTGCCAAGGCAGTGACATTGTTGACTCGCTTTGAACATTTTTTTTACAAGCGAGCTAAAAACCAAACAGGCCTCTATGAGATCCAAGACAGTTCTAGCTAGCCAAATCTTTGTTATGCGCCTCTCTGCGTAACACTGCCAATTATTATGTTTTGACATTGTGTGAAGAGATTTAAAATTTCAAGTACAAACTTGGAAGAGCTGATGATACACTTTGCTAATTCCCTCCTCACTTTAATCTCTATTATTGAGCAGGCAAATGAGCCTGTGTGTGCATCAATTCTCTCAGAAAGCACTTAACCTCGTATAAATTTGCTGAAGTTTTTTGGCAAGGCAACTTCTTTGTCTTAACGCCACAAAGAAAGTGCGGAAAGTGGGGAAGTCGGAGAGGAGAAACAGCGGGAAGGAAGCCAGGATAGCTGAACCACTGACCTATTTTAAATTGATAATAAAATGTAATAATGGCTAATAAGGTGTAATAATTTGGGCCAATAAAGACAGGTGGCAGATAGAAGATGATATGGGTTGCGTCAGAGTAACCTTTCTTTGAGGACGAAGCAGAGACAATACACTCCTGTACTTTGTGAGAGCAGATAAAATTTGACCCCAGATCAATGAATCATTCTTTAATTATTAAGAGGATGGGGAAAGACAGGCGACTGTGTGAGAGATGGGGTGTATAGGACGGGGGAAGATATTGATAAGGGGAGGGAGTTGGAGAGAAGAGAAGCGATGTCAAAGAGGTGAAAGACAACAGGGACAGGTGTGGAGATCAGATCTGTGTGGATCAAATAAGTTGCATTAAATAATATAAAGTGAAACACTGAAAAAAAGAAAGATATAAAGAAAAAAAATGAAGTTTTACACCATAGAATAACGACAACGGCCACAGGAGAGTGTAGTGCTCCACAGTGACCTTTTAATAGGACACTCTCCACCGACAGCTTTTCTCTGTCTCCAGGGCTGATGCCAATATGCTAATACTACCTAGATGGCCTTTTCATTGGCTGATGCTAACTCCTGCTGACACTTGCCAGATGACGGTCTCCACGTCCTACCATTAAAGACAGTAGCAATGAATATGGTAAGACTACCATTACTGAGATAAGAGCAGATGAAGCCATATGCCGACTGCCTGCATGCAGTGAATCACGAGCATCCATGGAGTTAAGATACTGTATCATCACACATACAATACAGTAGCACCACTGTACCATGGTGGTGTAAGTGGACAAACACTCCTATGAGTCTGTAGTTTAGAGAGGTACAGTATTAATCTGACTGGATGAAGTGAAAAAATATATACCTTCACCTGTTAAAACTGGAGTTCCCTTGAGCAACAGTGAATCTGCTCAGTGTCCAGGATCAGATCTCAAAACTACAGCTCACAGTGTAAATGTCAGAAAATGTGGTGCGAGCCTCCAAATACTTATACTCCGAACATCCTAGGATCAATTACCAGTTACAAAAGTTACAAACCAGTTTTTGAACTGTGTTGTTGGGGAACGGCATCTAGTTCTCTTTTCCAATCATTTCCAATGGGAAAAAGAATTTGTAGTTATATATTTTTTAAATAACTTATATAACTTTTATAATTAAAAGGTGTTAATTTGCTATTTTAATGTGATTAATGATAACCATTAATTAATCAACTTATGTATAAATGTATTTAAAATCCATTTTGTCTATGGCTCACACATCTATCTTAGTAATGTTTTTGGAAGCCTGTGGGTCACTGGGTGGACTGGCTTGCCTTTTTACCTGGAGGACAAGGTTTGATCCCAGGTACCACTAGTGCATGTGGAGCTGTGTCATGTGATAAGACATTCAATTCAATTAATCAACTAATTTGGACCTATTGAGAGGAAAGATTACATCTAGACATTGAAATATAATACTATATATATATATATATATATATTATAAATTGTCCTTTACTGTTACAAACTCCTGTCTGTCTGGTTTATCATGAAGAAACTGTTAAGCAGCTTTTATGCATTTTTATTGGCAAAAAAAGCATGGCCAAATTTATCAGCTTGTTTACTTCAACAAACAAGAAAGCTTTGTGTGGCAAAAATTAGATGCATTTAAACAAATCTCTGTCATAACAGACACTGAGCCAAAGACTACTGAACAAAGAATAATATTTAAAGTTCTTCATATTTTTGTGGGGTTTGTGTGAGCATAAAATGTATATGTAATTTGGTATAAAGAGCAGATCAAATTAATAAATTAAACTGCTCATTAGAATAGCCTGTACTTGGTGGTCATTAGTAAAAACGCATGTAGAATTTGTCACCCTGGCCTCTGTGAATTGTGGGTAATTAGCACTAATGTATCATGGTCTATTCAAGACTGCACAAGGGCTGACAGTGAAACCACACCTCTGACCTAAATGTTTTATTCATTCCTGGGGGTCAGAGAATTATTTTTAACTCATATTTTACAGGATGGACAGTTTGCCATTAATAATATGTCATCTCATATTAGTGTCTCATCCTGGGTTTTTAATGGTGTCGTTTTTCTTTGAGTTATTCATGTTCAAATTTAATTCGCTGGATTGTTTTACAATTTTACAATTTGTACATTTGTACAATTTTTTTCATATAAAGGATAAAAAATTATAACATTAAAAAAAATATGTTTTGTGTATGAAAACCAAATGAATACACAAATGAGAGTAGTGTGAGACACAGGCATCAGTTGTTGCATGATGAGGCTTTGGCAGCTTCACCATTGAAAAAAGAGCATTCAATTTGTTTTATGACAACACCACCCTGAGCCCGCCATCACCACCGAATATATTAGAATGTGTAAGAGTTTTTCAAACAATTAAAAAAACAATATAAAAAATGCTTTTGTTTTTTAATAGTCCAGTAATGCATTTTTAAAGATAACGTAGCTTATAAAATTAAGATGTTGGTAAAAGTATTTAGAATTGGTTTAAAAAATATTTAGATTTCTATAATTGTTGACATTTTTGTTGAATAAATAATTCAGAATAATAGGTCAGCACTAGTGGTTTGGTAACCCATTGTTACCTGGCTAATTAACAAAAACACAAAAACTTAAGTGATGAAACTCCATAATGTTTCCAGTTTACCAACATGTCCAGGATCCATCTTTGAACTCACCACAAAAACCTAACTCATCTCTAATGTAAATACTACGACACAAGCAGCACAGTCCTTCCACCTTAACAAACCACATATGCAGTACACACCTCTTAGTACATAATACACATGTGCACATTAGGAAGCATCATGTGGTATTATGATTCCAGAGGCATTTACTTCTTATGTTGGGAAGACAGAAGATCACAGAGGGAAATAATGGCTGCATTATTACTCCTCTTATTGTGTCTTAATTAGTGGCATTTAATTATGCACCAATGTAGAGAGGGCTATTAAAGACACCAGGGCCTGCTGATTGTGGAATTAAACACACACACACACACACACACACTTTTTGTGCAGACACTTGTCATGCAAAAAAAAAGATTTTGCTTCCCTTTAACTAGGAATTAAAGAAGTCCTGCAGTTTAAGTGTGTATGTGTGTGTGGGGCGGGGGGATTAAAATATGTGTGTGTGTGTGTGTGTGTGTGTGCGTGTGTGTGTGTGAGAGAGAGAGAGAGAGAGTAAATACACTATACAAGAAAAGTTTGTGTTTCTAATGATCACAAAAATATTTAGCTTATTGTGCACAACATAATATGTGGACAAAGAGTAGAAGATGTGAACAGACTCTGGTGCTTATTAACGACACCCGTGTACAGTATATCCTTCAGTCGCCTCTTCTCTCCTGGTACATCTCAATTATTTGTTCAGAGGCTGGTGTGACACTAGAGTCAGCATTGGCAGACTTTGAGATGCTAAACAGGGGGCAGGAGCCTGAATGTAAGTCAGTTGAATTAGTTTGAAGCTGCTTTTGTGTTGCTGCAGGAGAAGCATCAAACACACATCTCTACCTGTATAATCTACTGCCAACATTGTTGGTTTTTAGCTGTTTATTGAATCTATGTAAAAGGTAATGAATAAAACCTGTCCTTCACCGAGCCTGGTTCTACAACATGCCATTCTACAGGTGAACCATCCCATAATACAGCTCTGTCTCTCACTTCAATTAGAAGTCACAGGAAAACAATATCATTTGGAAACAATGAAGATAACAGAAAATAAAGTATAATGAAAAATATACTGACGATAATTGAACTCTGATGGATTTTAATTTTAGGGAATATTTTTGTATTGTAACTAAAATTCTAATTGATTAATACTTTATATTGGTAAATTATTTATATTGGTATAAATAAAGACAAACAGTAGACAATTGCATACAGTGCATCAAGCAGCAATACAATGAATGAGTTCCTTATTTAGATAGAAATAAGGAACTTCCTAAAATATGCAGGAAAAAAACATTTCACCCACTAGGTGATATGTGTTTTAGAAGGATGTACATCTGACCATTATAGTTCCTGTGTACCAATAAACTTATAAGACTGCAGTCCTCAAGTACAGTGTTTCACCAGGAGCAAAATACTTTGGGGTATTTTACTGTCAGTGAAATAATGAATTCAAATCTCTACGTTCATTTGAATTAAATTAAACTTGTAGTTAGGTTTTATGTAACTATAAGATTGCATCATTATTATTAAAATTCAACAAAGTAATAACATTTTTAACTGTAAATTCAATCTTTGTTTTTCCCCTATGTTTTGCAAGCTTTCAAAGATTTGTCCAAAGTTTATCTATCATTACAGTTTACAAACTGGGAGAAATTGTGTGAAAATGGGTTTAAATAACAACAACACCAATGGTTATTTGCTTTTAGGTATTTTATAAATATCTGCAGATAAATAGCGGTTTAATACAAGCATCACGTCTTTAATGCAATATTAAGGAACACAGAAAAAGTGTCTAATTTACAAATAAAAAACCGAAAAAGGTCTGTTTCTTTTCTTTAGGTGATAGGCCACTTGAATATGAATAGAATATAATAAATTAAGACAAATAATAATTTTTTAAAAATCATAATAACAGTTCTTGGTTGCATTTCAAAATATTTTTTGACCCCCTAGTTTTTTTTCTCTCTCTCTCTTTGGGTTTAGCGTCTTTTCATATTTTATTTTGTTCGCTTCTTTTTTTTTTTTATCAGTGCCACACCAGATCATGTGGTAAATGCCCTCTCAAATTGTGCAAATAAATAGTGATTTGAATCAACGCCGGTCTGAAGAAAAATGATCACATAGTATATGCTACAACGTTTACCTCACTTTTTTTACAAACTTTTTTCACTTCAACTTGCTCAGTTGCCTCTTCTGTCCTTTTTAACGCATTAACAATGTCCATCTTCATTGCGTGCATTATTTTTAAATGAACCACAATTTTAACCGGTTAGGACAGCAGAAGAGCCGGGTGTAAGTGGCTGCCTTTCCCTTCCAGCAGGTCACTCTTCTCCATCACTGAGGACGGCGCGCAGAGCTGTGCCGACGCGGACTGCAGCCCAGTCAAGCCTGGCACGGCACCCAGAGACGGAGTTGGTTTGATGGGCACTGGGACCGCAGGCAGGGTTTGCCCGTTGGCATTGTGGTACAGGCCCTTTGTTGACACACCAAAGGGCGAGTATTCGGGCGAAGATTGCATTGACACCCCACCCATGGACTCTGACAGCATCCCGACGTGCGGCCACATGGAGTTGACCATGCTGCTGAGCTGCGGCGGCACCGGGTAACCCAGGTGATGCATGACAGAGGTGAGCGGGAGCCCGCTGGCCATCACACCCTTGTAGTCCCGTCCTATGATGTTCTCGATCGTGAACGGGTGTTTAAACCCACCGGGCTGTGCGCAGGTGATGCCGCCGTAACCCTGGAAATGAGGCAAGCGGCCCACAGCGCCTGGGGGGCCGGCCGAGTGGTCGTGGTGGCCGTGAACTGCGCCCAGCTTGCTGCCAGGGTGGTGGTGATGGTGGTGGTGATGGTGAAAGTAGTGCATCATTGGGGAGCTTTTGCAGGCCATGTGCTCAGCTCGGTGCACCTTAAAGCGCTTACGTCTCCTCAGAAAGCTGCCGTTCTCAAACATGTCACCACAGTCCGGGTGCAGAGCCCAGAAGCTGCCTTTTCCTGGCTGGTCAGGGCGCCGAGGGATCTTGATGAAGCAGTCGTTGAAGGAGAGATTGTGTCGCAGGGAGTTCTGCCACCTCTGGGTGTTCTCCCGGTAATAAGGAAAGCGGTCCATGATGAACTTGTAAATGTCACTCAGGGGGAGCATCTTTTCGGCTGAGTTCTGAATAGCCATCGCAGTCAGAGAAATGTAGGAGTATGGAGGCTTCTGGTCGCTGTAAGAGTTCTTCCCAGGACGGGGCATGACGATTGGTCTCTTTAATTTGGCTTTTTAATTTGAATTTTTTTTAAGTTTAAATTGTAGTGTTTTTTTATTATTATTATGTCTTTAACTCATATCAATCCCCTGTTGATGAATACTCCAATTGTATAAGCCATTCAAAATAAGTTAAATACAGGTGCAGGGTGATATCCCGCCTTGTATGTACTAATGCAGTGTAACCTGAAGGGCCGCTGGAGTCAGCTGAGATCCTAGAAAATCTTCTTTATCCAAATCAGGCGGATCTTTGTTTTTTTTCTGTCCCAACAAAGCTCATGGAGTCGTGCGTAAAAGTCGGTCTTCGTGCGTAAAAGTTGACTGATCTCGTGTTGCACCAGATTGCGCGGCTCTGTGAAGATGTGAGGGGCCAACGTGCTGCTCCGACTGCGTGCGGTGTGTGTGCTCCTCTCCTCTGGTGTGATGCTCCCACTCGTGGAGCGCTGTTTTTGTAAGACCCCCGCAGGTCGTCGGCTGTGATATCTATTATGCAGACACTTAGGGGACACGTCAGGAGGAGCATGGAAGCACAGTGCGCGCGCGCACACGCGCGTGTGTGTAAGAAAGAGAAGGAGAGCGAAGGGAAGAGGAAGATAGACGCTGATAAAAGAGCAATAAAAATGAGGAGTGGGAGGTGCGAACTTTCCTTTCTTTTTTCTAATCAATGCTTCAAGAAAAGTTGGTACAATTTTTTAAGAAAACTATTAAATTCAATGTAATTTATACTAGATAGCCAAATTACATTCATTTATTTGATAATTTACTTCAACATAATTGTCAATATATGTTTTTAACCGTTAAGAAGTGATACCTGCTACACTCTATAAAGGTGTCTTTTTCCCATTACAGTTCAACTTTGTAAAACTGCTGTAGTTCTTTTTACATTTGTACTTTGTGTGCCGGACATGAGATGCACAACGGAACTTTTTATTTTTTTTATTTTGTCGTATTTTTTTTCGCTTTTATCATATATATATATATATTTCTAACAGCCGTTGGCACTTCCGTCTTGGTCCAAAAATTGGAGTTTAAATGTAGTGTGTGTTTCAGAGGATATCCCCCGAACCCTTCTGAATGAACTAAACGTGTCAGAGAATGTGGGCCATTGGAGCGTTTAGACACGTTCAAGGCTGAATAAATAGGAAAGAAAAAGTGAATAAACAGTTTAAATGCAGTCTCTTAATTTGCCGAAATTTTGCTGGACTGCACTTTCAGACTTTTCAAACGATAAATCATGTCTTCTTTTGCGCACAATCATCAGTGCACAACTCTCAATTAGCCTACACACAGAGAAATAGAGAGGGAAATGTAGGAGTATATGTGTGTGTGTTGTTGATTAATTGCCGTGGGGGTAGGCGGAACAGACGAGATGGGGGGCTGTCTGTCTGTTTAAACACTCTCCCGTGAATTCTATAAGGATGTAAACAAACTTCATCCCCTGCTCTGAGTTGTGCGCAGTGCGCACCAGTGAACACAACAAAAGCTGCTCCTTTTCTCCTCCTGCTCCTCCTCCTCTGACCAGGTGTCATGACTGGGTCCTTCACGGCTCCTGTCTTTCCCGTGCCCCCGAATACATTACAATAATTAAGTCTTTCGTGATTTAGCCTCCTAGGAGAGAAGTCCAACAATGTAATTAAGGGTAGGCTCACTGTATGAATATTCAAAACGGTGTCAATTCATTAGCCGCTGAATTTCTGCCGTTGTCTCAGTCCTTCAGACCCACTCAAAGGGTCGGCCGTGTCGACGGTGAGCATATTTTAAAGATATTATGTCATTACCAAGAAAATCACTTTTTAGCGCCACTTCACTCGATAAAGAGTGAACATTCATGTCTAATGAAAAATGTGTGTGTGTCCGTGTGTGCGTGCTCTGTAAAATAAAACGTTTTGTTTCAATGCATAGGAATGTGGAGACTTTATGGTTTAACTGAGTAGTAATAATTAATTTACGTTACAAAGTGTGTGTGTGTTTTAAATATACAATTTAGTTCTGCTTTACTTGAACACGAGAAGAACTAGCCCCGTGGATCATTGTTTATATACAGACACACAACGAAACTCGTCTTTGGAACAGCATTGGCTTTCAGTGAATTTTCTGCTTGCTCAACACACCACAGTAATCCTGCCATGGCAGGATTCGTACCTGCCACCCTCTGATACCACAGCCTATCCTCCACTAACCACTAGATCATAGGTTTTCTACATGAGTTAATTTAATTAGATTCTATGTGATACTTGAAGAACCTTTAATATATTAAAAAAAAGTATATATTTGTCCATTCATTTTCTGCTAATTTATCACATTCAACACACTCCACCAGCTTTACTGTCATACCCATGCAATTTATTGACAAAATAATGTCATTTGACAATCAGGTGGTGCGTTGGCCCAGAGGCAATGTCTCTGTCGTTGGTGTAGAACCCCAGGGTTCACCTCCTGGGCAAGTTCGAATCCTGGTAAGAGTGGTTGGTTGGTGTGGTGCAATGTGATTTGGGCCGCCCCTGTGACCCGGTAACGGTTAAGCAGATGAAAATGGATGGATGGCATTTGACAATCAAAAAGATTGCTGCAAACAAGGGGAACAAGATGCTCCCAGACATGCATAGTTTTAAAAAAATGTCCTGAAAAATTTCCTGTCTGATAACACAGAGTCACAGTCATAAATAAATGTGACTAAACAATGCAGCTCATCTGTTTAACTGTGTCAACAAGAAGACACTAAAGGTGGTTTTAAAGAACCTGTTCATATGTGCCCTAATGGCCAAGTGAACACGAATGAATGTATAAAGAAATTTAAAAATATATGTGGAGGTAATTATGCCAACATAAAAAGTCTCTTTTTTCATAAAAACCTATTGGGCCCACTTGGCCACTGAAAAATATAAAAAATGACCCTCAGACATACAACATTCAGGAGGCTCTGTCAACACAACAGAAGATTAACTGAAAACATATTTGTCTAAGGAGCAGTAAACCAAGTCTTTATATTGACAGACAAAGAATTTGAACCTGTTAGATTTCATTTTTAGGAAGAAAGAAAATAATTCATGTTTAAAGGTCAGAAGAAAAAGTCTTGCTCAGTGATCTGACCTTTAAGAGCTCAGTTGGTATTGCATTAGGAAATGCAGTGATGTAAAGAAAAAAGCAACATAGTTTCACGATTACATTAGGAAAACAGTGTTTGAAAAGTCAATAGAGTAAACTGAAAATTGCCCCCCGATATTGCACTGTATACTGTAATACAAAAAGGACAACTGGAACAGAAAGAAATAATTTCACTGGACCTGAGCTCATCTGTGATGTACACAGAAGACAGTAGAAATGTGTTGTGTTGTCTTAGTTTTGGAACACAGACATTCCAGTGGTTTATGTGGATCATGACTGCTATCAATTAAAAATACTAAAGCTTGCAGTTTATGATTTGGAGTTGCATCAGTATCAATTGTACCTACTGTATACTTATACTGAATGGAGGCACACATATAGTAGCAATAATAAACAATTACAAATATTCAATGGCATATACTTGAAATGAGAGAACAGTGCAGGCCTCATTCCTCATACATTACAAAAGTGTGGCTTTGTAGACACAGACAATGTGTACTTCACTGACCTGCCTGTAGTCCACATATCTCCCATCTTACTATTTGATGTAAAGTCCTGTGCATCATGAACAGAGGAATCCAATACAGACAGAAATATCCCACTGAAGAGAATTATTGTGCTGAAATGAACCAACATAACAGTATAATTGTTGTAAAGTCATGGGGGGCGGAAGGTGAAGAGGGATGGGAGGATAGTTCCTGACTCCATCACTGGAACACTTAATACAGAAATGCACTGCCATTCAAACCCTCAACCCATCACCAATCAATGGGAGGAGCCATAGAACCAAGACAAAGCCCACACACACTGACAACATTCACACACCATGCTGAAAGACCACGAGTTACCACTGGAACTAAAACTAGTGATCTACCTGCTGTAAGGCAAGGCAATGATCACTGTTTCGGGCTGAGGCCAAAGTTTTGAATGAGGTTATATTTAAAAAAAAAATGCAATTACTTTCGTCAGTCAAAAAAAACTAAAAGTAATTTATTTGTTCTGTTTTGTTAAAGTTCAACTGCATAAACAACAAGATTTTGAAGGTGTTACTATATGCATTTTAAAAAGTTTACAATACTGGAAATGAAACCAGTAGGTGTGTGTGAGACAGGGGGTAAGAGTAAGAGAGAGAATGAGAGAGAGAGAGGAGGAGTGTTTGTGTGTTCCTGCTATAGCTATATAGGGACTAAATATTTTTGTGTACATTTACATTTTGCAGGTCACTCTGCAGGTGTGTGTGTGTGTGTTAGTGTTTATGTATTCCTCACAAAGTTTTCCTGGAGCACTTAAAAAAAAGGTTTTGAAACTCCAAGGCCCAGAGAGGCCAACGCAGAGAAACTGTCTTCTTTAAATGCCCGGGAAAGATCAATATTAAATCTGTTTTCACAGAGGAGACCGTTAAATAGACACCATGGCTGATCTGCATAACAAAATTAATTAGGTAGTCTGCTGCACTGTTCTCCTGCACTCAACTCCTGGACAAATAACTAGTTGTAAAGCACACCTTCTGGGCATGCAGAACATATGCTGGAATTATCCTTAATTGACTAATTACATAAATTACTCATTAAGTTTACAGCACATCAATTATAAAAAATGTATCAATTAATTTTGCATAAATTACAAGCGGCAGGCTGCATAGAGAGAGCGTCGGAGGGAATGAGGGTCGCCAGAAGGGGGTCTGCTCTAAGGTGTGTGTGTGCCTGAGAGTGACAGAGTGTGTGTGTGTGTGTGAGAGAGAGAGAGAGAGAGGGGGAGAGAGAGAGAGANGAGAGAGAGAGAGAGATGGTCGTCTGTTTGTTTTATATTCTTCCTGTGCCAGCCACTGGCACATGGGAAGTGTGGGGGTAAATGGCAATTATACTAATAATAATAATCTTAAAGACCTCTCTCCAAGTCATAAGGGGTGCAACGTGGCAGAGAGAGCCATTAAAATCAATTAGCAAGGCGTATTGTTTTCAATGGAAAATTAAACCACCACAGGACTGTGGTGCACACACAAGCCATACTGGTTAATGGCAAATTATTTAGAGGCAAAATAGGACGATATTTGCAGTTCTTTCCATAAAAGAGTGATTTAAGAGGCGCAGCATGGATCAAAGTTGTTGCATGTGTGTGTGTGTGTATTTGTGTGCGTGCCTGTTGCCTTACAGTAAAATCTCAACATGATATAAATATACTGTATATAAATATACTACAACTTTCATGGAGGGAAACCTAAACTGCACATTAGGCTTTTAGTTATTTAGGTCATTCTCATTCAAAGTATGTTTTTTAGTTAGTTCATGGTCCTGAGAACTTTATTTTCACATCCTGTATTGAGGAAATGACAGCACACAGTCTAAGCATCATACAACACAATACTACACTATACTACACTACAGATCTCACCATCTACTGTTGGTAGCATATCTAAATTATACGGTGAATACATGTCAAACCATGACAGTAAAAATCTGTAAACTTTAAAACAGTTTCACACTGTTTATATAACAATGAATCACTGTAAATTAGTAAATCAGGAAAGTACAGTACTTGAAAAAAAATACATGGCCTTGCTGTGATATTTATTAACATTCAGTACCATGATTTTTGCATTTATTTCCCCAAAAGAATAGTTTTTCACAGTTAAATATACTTCCTGTTGTGGGCCGTACAATTTCTACAATTCAATACTGTGATTTTTGCATTATTTTTGCAAATATAATGCAGTTTTCAGTTAAATATACGCACTGGTGTGCTGACAACAGAAACATGCCATATTTACAACAAGATGTGATTCTTGCATTTATTTCAAAATATACTTTGTACCTGTCAAATTGATGTACTTTGGTGTTAATAACAGACAAATACTTTAATATTTATGACAGCTACAACCTCATTTTTTCTGATATGATAATATATGTATGTTAATAAAGACTTTTAAATATATATATATATACTTATTGTAACGCCTAGCCGAGCATTACAATGACGGTGAGGCGTTCATCTCAGACAGGTCTTTTATTGAAAAACCTTAACAGTTTCTGTCGGCCGTAACTATGCCACAAAACAATAATAACTTCTCTACCTGCTCTTCCTTCCTTCCACTGGCTCCTCACTCCGTCACATACACACAGACTCACTAGCACCCTATCACAGACTGCTGTTTTTGTGTGTATACATTTATACACACAAAAATATCTGCTATGTTTACGGTAAAGTACTGGCAGACACGGTTGCCGAAAAAGTGCCATAAAATAACAGTAAAACACTTTCTTCGTTTATGGTAAAAAAAAAAGTATGTATTTCAGTATTTTACTATAAAAAATAAAGTTCTAATATTTGAAAATACATTGTTTTAATTTAAAATTTACATGGGATTTTTTTTATTTTAACAGTACAATGCCGGCAGCCGTGGTTAATTTACGGCTTGATAATGTTGACTTTATGGTTAGTAAGTGTGCTTGATTCCTTATTTTTCTGTACAATTAACAGTATAAATTGTAAGCTACAAATTTATTCTGTAAAAGATAGCATAAATTCTTGAGTATACTAAGGTCCAAACAGAAATCCCCTAACAATTACAGTAAATGTGTGATAGTGAAAATGTAGGATGTGCATTTTTAATCATTATGTAGTGCAGCCCTACTTTTTTTCTCTAAACTTCATACACAGCACATGAACTGATATTGTTAAATTAGTTAAAGTTCCAAAAATCACAAAAGACATTCACTGTAGTACTTTACAATACAAACTCTTTATTTGAAGTCCAAACTTTTCCAACTTTGCCAGCACAATAAACTGCAGTAAAAACGTAAAAACACTCTACTTACAAACTGTAACAGTTTGAAAAAGCCAGCAATTAGTTTCTTCTTTTTACACTCAACTTTGGTGTCTCTGTAGATCAGAAGAAACGAAATGAGAAGAGAGAGAGAGAAAGAGAGAGAGAGAAAGGGTGAGAACAAAATTAGTTTGTTTCTTTTTAAAATGATTGCAGTGAGCAAAATGAGTGGACAGATTTAATACAGGTACACACCCTTAACAACAAAATATCTACAGTGTATATCATATCAAACGTACCTTTTATCACATCATCCCTCAACATCACTGGTAGGTCCACTCATGGTTGGCAAGATATGAGATCAGTGTCAAGACTGTGGGATTGACCAATAACACTTTTTTTACTCTTCTTCCAGGATTTATTGAAAGGAAACACCTTTAAAAAGGAAAGAAAGGAAAAGAGAGAGAGAGTTTACCCTGTATAACTGCATGCAGGATATGCTAGGAAGTATTTGTAATTCTAATAATGATAAAAAAAAATTCGATTTTTACCGTTGGAGGAACTCAAGTGTGGACTGTAGTTCCACCAGGTAATGTATGTTGAAGCAGTAGTAACTGCCAAACATCAGGCAGATGGCAGATGTGAAGGAAGTGATGTGGTTGTTGACAATGCTCATAAATGTCTCAGCACCAATTCAGGAAGACCCTAGGAATAAAAAAAAATTATTGAAAAATCAAATTAAATGACAACAGCTATAATATCAGCATAACTAGAAATTCAATGGTACTCACTGGCGTTCACAAAGTGAGACGGTGCATTTTAATGCGTTGTAAAGAAGGCTGCGGTTCTCCGACACTAAACTGAAGGCAACGTGGCTTGCTTCCGCTGACAAAGTCTACAAAGTACACAAAATGCCATAAGCAATTAAAACCATGCGAAAAGCTAAGAAATAAAAACATACCACAATGTGAAGATGAATGAGAGCAAAAAAGACCCGAGCTCTTCTACGTGACAAATGAAACGAATCTGCGAGAACGAAGCGAAAGATTAGTTCACAGAGAATGATCCGTTCATAGTGATTAGTTCACAGCGAAAGATTAATTCATAGAGAATGATTCGTTTGCAATGGAAGATAAGTTCACAGTGAAAGATTAGTTTGCAGAGAGTAATTCGTTCGTAGTGAAAGATAAGTTCACAGTGAAAGATTAGTTAGCAGAGAGTGATTTGTTCGCAGTGAGTGATTTGTGAGTGATTCGTGAGTTCAATATGAACAAATATTTAATATGACTCGGTAGTCACGAGTCAGGAATCTTTCATATGACTTGGGAGTCACCAGTCATATGAAAGATCCGTTCATTTTGAACGAATCACTCGCGACCGACACATCACTACTGTCGCCCCACTCTCTCTAACATATGAAGTCAAACTTCGAAAACATTTGAAAGGGAAATTGTTAATGTAATTCATGTATAGTGAAATAGACAGGTTCTCTGTAATGTTAACTCTTGTAATTCCAGACTGTCAGTGAACGCATATATATATAGGTAGGTCTGTGATTGGGTGCGAGTGAGTCTGTGTGTATGTGACGGAGTGGGGAGCCAGTGGAAGAAAGGACAAGACACGCCCGACTCATATGATTCGTGATGACACGCCCCTCGCTTGGCCATCACTGAAGGGTAGAGAAGTTATTTTATATATATTTTATATTTTGAAATAAATGCAAGAATCACATCTTGTTGTAAATATGGCATGTTTCTGTTGTCAGCACACCAGTGTGTATATTTAACTGAAAACTGCATTATTTTTGCAAAAATCACAGTATTGAATTGTAGAAATTGTACGGCCCACAACAGGAAGTATATTTAACTGTGAAAAACTATTCTTTTGGGGAAATAAATGCAAAAATCACGGTACTGAATGTTAATAAATATCACAGCAAGGCAATGTATTTTTTCAAGACAAAAAATGTTAGAAGTACTGTACTTTCCTGATTTACTAATTTACGGTGATTCATTGTTATATAAACAGTGTTAAACTGTTTTCAGAGTTTACAGATTTTTACTGTCATGATTTGACATGTATTTACTGTATAATTTACATTACATTTTAACACTGCACACACACTGGGAGATCGTCCATATAAAGAGATAGACAAGGAATCGAACTTGCAAAATAGTGTTCTAACCACCAACAACTTTGAAACTCACCATTATACAAAGTCACCTCACTTTATATAATACATTTCCTACTTTTCTGCTTTGTTATACATTCCAGAAAGTGAAGAAAGGTTAAGACACATAATAACATATTCACAAACTATGATCTCATACCAACCGATTATGTTATGTGCAGCAATTAAATTACTCATTATAATTTAATGTTGCTGAAACTGACCACCATGCCGTTGTGGACATTACATTAGAACTGCATTATCATCCATTTAACCAATCTTCTTCAGTGGACTTTAGCTACGCAATAGCATTCATAGATTTATTACTCATTGTCAGTTGTCCCTATGAAATCTGTGTAAGCCGCTCTTTTTTCATCATATACTCAATAATATGAGAGCCAATAGCTCTCCGACGAGAACTGGCTTCATGGTCTACTGTTTTATAGGTTTGTTTTTGTCATTTCACCAATAATTATCCATCCATACATTTTCATTTATCTGTTACCAGCAGTCTTCATGACCACCACCCAAATCACACTGCACCGTCCCAACCTCCTGAACCTTTCTGCGGGTGGTGAGTCCACTGGAAGGTACCAACCGCCCTAACTGGGATTCGATATTGCCCAGGAGGTGAACCCTGGGGTTTCACACCAATGACAGAGACATTGCCTCTGGGCCAAAGTGCCACTCATAAAAAACTAGTCACTAGCAAAAGCATCTCGTGGGCTATTATATTTTATTTTTTACAAGGCTGTAGTTACATCTGATGAAGAGCCATGTGCAAATATACCAATGACAGTAGGTTCACAGCCATTATTGTTTTGGCTTAGAACAGTGGTTCTTAACCTGGGTTCGATTGAACCCCAGGGGTTCAATGCAGTGGGGGGGGTCCAGCAGAGAACAAGACACGCCCGACTCATATGATTCGTGATGACACGCCCCTCGCTTGGCCATCGCTGAAGGGTTCGGTGAATGTGCATATGAAACTGGTGAGGTTCAGTACCTCTGACAAGGTTAAGAACCCCTGGCTTATATAAAGTTTACTTTTTAGTTGTAAAGGGAATTTAATTCAAAATGCATAAACTGTGATAAGTTAAGACAAAAAACTCTGTGGTATATTAAAATTACTATTCTTCTTCTTTTTCTTTCGGCTTTGTCCCTTTTTTTCAGGGGTTGCCACAGTGAATCATTGTTCATTGTTCATCATTGCTCTCCCTGTTTTCTGCCTCTTCTACTCTGACTCCAACTATCTGCATGTCCTCCCTCACTACATCCATATATCTCCTCTTTGGCCTTCCTCTCTTTCTCCTACCTGGTAGCCCCATCTCTAACATTCGTCTACCAATGTATCCACTGTCCCTCCTCTGCACATGTCCAAACCATCTCAATCTGGCTTCTCTAGCTTCTTCTCCAAACCTTCCTGTCTGTGTTGTCCCTCTAATGACCTCATTCCTGATCCTGTCCATTCTTGTCACTCCTAAAGAGAATCTAAGGATCTTTAACTCTGCCACCTCCAGCTCCGCCTCCTGTCTTCTGCCTATTGCTAGTGTCTCTAAACCATACATCATGGCTGGTCTCACCACCGTCCTGTAAACCTTTCCCTTCACCTTAGCTGACACTCTTCTATCACAGATCACTCCTGATGCTTTTCTCCAGGTGTTCCATCCTGCCTGTACTATATTCTTCATCTCTCTTCCACAGTCTCCTCTGCTCTGAACAGTTGATCCTAAGTACCTAAACTCCTGCACCTTCACCACCTCTGCTCCTTGTAGCCTCACTATTTCACTGTTCTCCCTTTTGTTTACACACATGTACTCTGTCTTGCTGCGGCTGACCATTATTCCTCTTCTTTCTAGTGCAAACCTCCACCTCTCTAGGTTCTCTTCTAGATGCTACCTACTCCCACCTCAGATCACAATGTCATCTGCAAACAACATAGTCCATGGGGACTCCTGTCTGACCTCATCTGTCAATCAGTCCATCAGAACAGCAAACAAGAAGGGGCTCAGGGCCGATCCTTGATGTAGTCCCACCTCCACCTTGAAGTCTTCTGTCCTTCCAACAGCACACCTCACTACTGTTGTACTATTCTCATACATGCCCTGCACCAAACTAACATACTCCTCTGCCACTCCTGACTTCCTCATACAAAAATATTATATATTTAATATATTAAAATTACTATACAGTATATAAACCTTTCATTATTCTTATGTCTCTTTTTTTGACACAATACTGTATTTTATAAACCACTGCCCTTTCTCCATGCATTTCCTATCAGGCAGCACTTTTAATAAACCTATAAATAAATAAAATAAATGTGTGTCTGAGGAATTGTTGGTCATTTTGGAGAAAGTGACTGTAAGTCATATTGATTATGTCTATGTTATGTCTTTGCCTGTGGCCTATTGCCACTGACAGTGAACTATTCTCCATCCACTTTATACTGAGCGATCACTACAAAGGGAAAATGTCTGTACGTCATATGCCTGTAGATGATTTTAGTGGAGTGTCTTTTGCATTTGTGAATTAGAATGGGGTTGGTTTGGTTGGACATAGGGTAAGGATTAGGGTTAGGCACTAGAATTCCCTGCCATGCAAAAGGTTTTTGAGAACTAGTTTTGAATCCCAAGTTAGAATGGTCAAGGTTAGAGTAAGAAAATGCATCATATTAATGAAAAGTCCTTACAAACATTTGAAAAACAGTATTGGGTGTATGTTATTATCTCTTTATGATCTCTTTATAATCTAATAATCTTAAATTTAATTTTTATATAAACCCTAGCTTTACAGAGGAAGGCAGGTGTATTATGAATGGCCTTGACACTCCAGAACTCTGCGTATACTTCATATTTTTAAAATGTACCACAAATTTACACACACACACACACAAAACAGTGTAAAAGAAAATAATGACAACACAATATTCTCAGTATGCATACAACACCGTCCCACAATTTTATTATTTAAGAGTTTGACAGCTATGCATCATTTTATTTGGACTGCTGCCACCTATCCAAAAACTAAACATAAAGACAGATCCCTGCCAAATCCACACCATCAAATACTTCTTGTGGTCCGATAAAATAACTAAAGGGAAGTTAAAATGTCCACATCAAATTATATCTGTCTTTTACACAATACACAGGAATCCACATCCAACACGTGCGATCACCTACTTTCACTGTTTAAACTAAATTAATCTAGAACGCACGTCAATGAAGGACTGCGACGCTGTCCGTGGTGCTGAAGATGTCTCGATTATAAATCCCTTTAATTTTATCGTGATACCGTGTGATACAGTATAACAGACCGGATTGGATAGATGTGTGTTTGTAAACGTCTCTCTGTACGGAGGGGGAGGGGTCGCAGTTAGGAGAGGATCCGTACAGCAGGGAACGCGGTTGAATCCAGAGCGCGCCTCCGTCGGATCTCCTCTTCCTGCCGTCACATCCACCGCTGGGTGATGTGGGTTCAACCGGGAGAGAGGGGGAGGACCAAGGGTTTCTACACACTCACTCATTCCAACGCACACACAGACAAACAGCACCAGAGTGCTGCAGTGTCAGCGCAGCGGGAGACTCGGAAGCCGATGCAATACACGCACATATAGAGACGCATTTATATACATAGACTCGCGGCCTTAAAACCGAAACTTGGTCTATGGAGAGATCTGCAGCGGCACCGTAGCGACGCAGGCCGTCATGGACGAGTATTTGCGGAGGGTCCAGAGCAGGCTCGTGGTGAGTTCAGAGCTGCAACACACTGTGGTGTGTATAAATGAATGACCATGACCGTGATAAAGCTACTACCGTTGCTCTACAGGCTGTGTTCCTGTTGCTGAAAAGGCGCAGAGCAGATATCTCTCGTCTTAATTCCTTTCCCCTGAGCACCTGTAGATCGACAACATGACTGTGCAGAGCAAATAGAAAAAGGCTCGTCAGGTCCCTCACAAATTCCTGTTATGTTTCCAGGAATATCAGACTGTGAATTTGAACGTAGGGAGTGATTCTAATGAGGGGGAGGCGTGACATCAACAAGTTTAGCCAAAGGCTGTCTTTTCCTGCTATCTTGTTGCTCTGCAGATGAACAGACTCATAATTTGCATTTGATCCAGGTCTGAAAAGGGGTGAAAAGGGGTCCACACACATAAAAAGCTTCATGAAAATAATAAACAAGGTAATTTATATGGGTAAAATGACTGCCACTGCTGTGCAGCACTATTCAGTGTCTGTAGGGCACACATGCTGGCATAGATAGGTAGGTAATACTGTCTTGTTTTCACATTTATCCATATAATGCAATGGTTTATATATACGTAACCTGCTAGCAGTGAAATACTTACACAGCCCTTCACACTGGGGAGCTTTTTATGGTTCATGCACCTTATGTGTGGCCACAGGGCCTTGTAAAACTGATATTTGCACATGTTGTTTGACTTTAGCAGGGTTGTAATATTAGTTGAAGAGTACAAACATGTCATTTATGGTGTGAGCATTGTACCTCACAGACAAGGTATATTTTGATGGTTGCACTTGATGTAATTTCCTTTTAAAATGTATTTTTCAAATGTTTTCATTTCATTGAAATATTGCATTTTCTGAAGCTAGATTTTTTTAACATTCCTAGACGGCACCTGAGTGACATGATATACATCAGTCTTTATGATGATGTTGCCTGTTTATCTCATTAGTTTAATTTAGTATTGCTGTTTTTACTTGACATGGTAAATAAATTAGCTCAAACTTACAAAAAGTGAGCATGTGCCCATGCACAGACATTGATGTTGATAGATTTACTACCTTTTCTGTGATACCGACAATTTCCACAGGCAGAGAATAACACCGTAGTCAGGGAATGTCCCCCTGAAACCGAGAAATGCATGCTTTCAAGAAAGCATGCAAAAAGCCAGATTGTTAAGAATAAACAGGTGTACCATAGCTGCAAATTGCAACACTGGCTTGCAACTCAAGACAACCTGTCAGGACCAGTGTACTGTATAGTGTAGCAAATAGAAAGATATTTAGAAGGGAGGAGCAGCACATGAGAACAGGTGTAGAGAAAATAAATACAAAACAATGTTTAGTTTAGACCCTACAGAGGGATCAGGCCCACTTCATAAGATATTTATAAACAGGAATACAATTGTTTGTATCTATAAACCTGTTACAGCACTATCACACGCAAGTAATAACTGAATTAATTAACTATTTTTCATTTTAGGGAAATCTCAAAGTCCTCAAAATATCATTACAAGTACAATGCAGTTTACATAATTCCCCTGTTTGGCACAACTAAACATGTTAAATGTAAGAAAGCAGCATTAAACACACACAGTTTGTTTTTGTAGCGTCATAGCACTTGTAATGATATTTTAAACAGAAAGTGAATCTAAAATCTGCCCTCATAGGCGGCGTTCACAAATAATAGGAGATCTTTGTGTTCTCCATTATAACCTGTACAAATGTAGTACATCAAGGTGTCAGAAACAGATTTAATGCTGCATTAATTGCCTTATTTGAAGTGTAGCTTTCCTTCACTTTAACCATAACCAACCCTGTCTCTAAACAGAAGACTGCATTTAACATGAAGACAATTAGCAGGAAAAAGATCAAAGATAAAAACCAACAGGTCAGAGCAAAGGTGGGTGAGAGAGCGATAAGGACACTCGATGAGTGACATACATGCTGTAGAATAAGGGTAACACGTGTTGGGATTATTGCACATCCTCCCTGGGCTACAACATAAACTATGGTGACTTGCTCTTTTACTGGCCCCTCTGTCATTTTCCTTGTCTATGATTCTCCCTTGCTGTCTCTCTAGTCTATAGATGGCCATTATCCAGAATACCCATACTTCTAATTGTCCAAGCTCTTAGTGCTTACTGGACGAGATGAGATGACGCTGTGTGCTGAGTGAACTTTCAGTATATCCATTTCTAACACATTCTAACACAGATTGGAAACAGACAAAATTGTGTTTTAGGACTTGGCTGTGTAACAAAATGTAATCATTAATTGGTCATTTAAATTTATATGTGTGTTAACATCTTGTCAACATCATTGCAATATAAAACAAACTGTTTAAAGAAACACACACACACGGTGCTTTGTGAACCAAGTAAAGAGTGTCTTATATAAAATGATAAACTGGAAGCTTGTAAATCTCCTTATCAGTGATGTTTTGCTGAAAATGCAAAATGATGTAATTTGGCAGAAGGAGGGGAAATAAGGAGAGATTTGGGGAGTAGCAGAACAGAGCAGAGGAGAAGCTGGGGAGAGGAAAATAGAGGAGAGAAGAGTAGCGGAGAGCAGAGGGGAGTATTGAGGAGAGGTGAAAATTGAGGAAGAGAGGAAGAACAGAGCAGAGCAAATGAAAAGAGAGAAGAGGAATCAAGAGGAGATGTGATGAGAATGGAGAGCCAGACAGGGAGATGGAAATGGAGCTGTGCGAAAGAGCACTCAGATTGAAGGATATCAGATAGCCAATACATGCACATGCGCAGATACTCAGTCTCCCTCTTTCTTTCCCTCACAAACACACACTCATACTCACCCACCATCTGCAGGACAAGAAAGTGAGTGGCCTTTTTCCTGATAATGCATCACCTCCTTTTCTCTGACTATTATTGATTCATTCTAGCAGCTCCTCCTCTCTCCTCCTGTCTCTCTACCCCTCTACATACACCTTTTCCCTTTCAGTCCACTTCTAGATCTTCACCTCACATCTTCAGCTATTGACCTTATCCTTCCTTTTATTTCCTACTATCGCCTGTTCCTCTCACACCTGTCTGTGATCTGTTTGTATATTTGTGTATCAGCCTGCTGCCAGTTTTCACCTCAGCTAATTTCCTTATCAGTTATTGACAGAATTCTTCAACATTTATTGCCTTTTCATACATGTATAAGACTTTTTAAATGTGCAGTACTCATAATAGTACAGTAAGCAATATAGTGCTAATAGTACGGAAACATCTATAGCAGGGGTCGGGAACCTTTTCAGCAGAGAGAGCCAAAAAGTCACATATTTTAAAATGTATTTCTGTGAGAGCCATACAATTTTTTTACTCTGAATACAACTGAAGTTATGAATGTTTAAACCAGACCAATAATTTTCAGAGTATAATATGTTTCTGAAAGGTATTAAAGTTTTTTTTTTTTTTTTAATTATTAACGTTTTACTATCCATACATAATCTTACCATTAATGCGACTTCTGGTGCTGCATGGTTTTGATGCGATTGGCTTCAGGGTAAAACAAAATAATCTATGGCTTAAAATGTGTAACATAGTTATAAATATATGGTTCCACTTGCCATACAAAAGAGTTTAATACACACCACGTAAGAAAAACCTTAATTTATCATACAGTCATTAAATGCAACACTCCTGCTGATTAGAGTCGTGAAGCCCCGGGAGCAACAGTCAGGCTCTGCTGTCCTTATGGTATAAGTGCACATATTAGGAGCTCCATCATTAATTAATTTGATTATATTAATTTTATCATTCATTGTACGGTTATTAGTTTATTTATTTAGTTTATATTTTCAGCGTCAGAACTGCCTCTGTGTTGCTCTAAAATGGATTGACTTTGTTTTCACATTTTAGGTCAGAAATAAAAGATGACGTACCAAGCTGATGATTCTGTGCAATTACTTAACACAACACAAAGAGAGTACGCTGCCACGGCAAATGCATGTGAAGATTATTTTAACACTATGATTTATGTAACGTTATACTTGAATATCAGCAAAATTATTTATTACTTATTGTGTTAAGAAGTACCAGCTAAGCTTGATCTGAGAGCCAGATGCAGTTATCAAAAGAGCCACATCTGGCTCCGCGAGCCATAGGTTCCCGACCCCTGATCTATAGAAACTCTTGGTTATAAAAAAAACAGGTAGCTTCTTTTTCCTCCACTGCAGGTGGTGCTGTTTAACAGTTTCAAGAATTGTACAATAACTTTACATTAGTTGATTCCTTTGGCTCAGTGAAAACATTATTTGTATTATCATTTACTTAAATGATTAATGTGGTTATGAAGGGTTTGTTTGTCTCTGTATGTGGCCCTGTGTTAACTGGTGAAGTGTCCAGGGTGAGGACGGGGTACTGGGCCCAATGGCCTGTTAAGTTGCACTCTATCAACAGTCTCATAAGAAAACTTAAATTCCCTATTTTGACAAATAAACTACAAATAGGAAAACCTTACATCACTACTTCACCTCAAGCAATATTTAAATGTATTACATGTCTGAGCATCTTCTATCAAAGCACTACACAAATGAAATGTGTAATTATTAGTATTTTCATGATATTATATTTTATATTTAAACTACTTGGCAACTAGTGTAGGAATAAACACTTAAAATAGGGTCAAAAAAGTTTTTTTAAATGTTTTATTTGACGTTGTGTCAATTAACACAGCAGCTGAACATTTTACAAAGCTCATCAGACTGTTCTACATCTAAGACAGCTACTTACCTCCATTATGTTCAGCAGAGTGCTTAGTTATTGTTATAAGCTTAGATGATGCTCGTTTTATATATACTAATGTGCATCACTTAAAGACTGGCAGATTTATAACAGTAGACAAGAGCTTTACCCAAAGAAGTGGCTGGTGCTCGAGAATTTGAAAAAGCTCCAATAAGAGAACAGAACTTTGTTTTATTTGTGTCCCTTTTTCAAGGAATCTAACATATTGTGACAAACCAAGAACCAGTCTATTTGACTAGGTACATATTTACCTCCGATTTGATGTCCTTGTGCTATTTTCAAGAATCGACTGAATACAACCAGTGCCTGCTCCCTTCCATTCTTTTGCCTCTTGTACACTATCTCCTCTCCACTACAGCATCTTCTCCCGTCAAATCTTCAAGGCTTCAAGGCCACTTCAGTAAGCCACAGAGAAACAGTATTTGGTATCAACACATTTACCTTTTTGATTAATGGCAGGTGCTGCACCATTCTCTGTCATCACTGCACCAGTGATGACAGAGAATCTTCATAGACATGCACCAGTGGTGAGTGGGCAAACTGATTTAGATTAAATTGATTTCCACATGTATTTGAAGTTGTAATTGTAGTTGAACAGCACCACAGAACTACACTGGTGAATGAAGTCAGAGGAGATGCCTTAGTCATTTATGAGATATTGTTTGGCATTTTTAAATACTGCATTTTACATTTTCATAAAGGTAAATTATGACAAAGTAGGTAAAATGTGGCATAACATGTCTATGTCATTCACCCGATGCAGGTCACAGGCTTGTGACAACATTCCCACATCATCCAACAAGAAATAAAATAACAGACCCAATATTTGACCATAGGATGACACCACACATGGCCAAACCCGCCACGTGTCCTCCAGAAGAGTCCACTATTCTTTAAAGAAATTTGGGCCACATTCACTATTTTAGATGATAGGTCACTGTGGGCCACATCTATTATAGTCTGAGCCAGATTAAAGTTTGCAGAGCTCCTCTAATGCCAGACATTTTTAGCTTTATCATGGTCTCTGACCATAAAGAATCATGTGAAGAAACTGTGCCGACAAGCAAATGGTTTTTGGCACTGATGTTAGAATCTAAAATTAAAATCTACAAAAATCTGAGGTCTGAGTCAACATAACACAGAAAATATTTTCTGACTTCATCAGCCAGAAGGGAATCATTAATATCTGTAATGGAGCTGTCATTAATATCTATTTACTGTACAACTATTATGCAGAATTTGTCTGCACTGTTTGGAAAAGTATTGGAATCCATTCTCTATGAAGATTCTCAGTCATCCAGGTCATGATCGAGGTTGAAAAGTTCTGTCAGGCAACTGGATGTGAATTTTCTAAAAGAAGACGTGTCACCTCTAATCCAAGAGGCTTCTTCAGTTCTAACTGGTGGTGGGGAGTACAGTAGATATATACTCTAGGTGTGAAAGAATAAACACCCAACAGAGTGGACCTAAAGTAGCTTTATTCTTTATCACCTAGAGCATATATCTGCTGTACTCTGAACTGAAGAAGCCTCTTTGATGAGAGGTGAAACGTCTTATTTTAGAAAATTCACGTCCAGTTGCCTGACAGAACTTTTCAACCTAATGGAATCCATTGTTTCCCTGATATGTCACTCAGCGTCATGTGATCCCTTATTGCATATTCACATTTCATTCTTTCTTTAATGTCACTGTGTCAGATATCAGCTCAACAAAATGAATGTGCAATACTAACATCTGCTTCATCGCTTTGGATCTTAGAAAACAAATATATGAAGTATTTCACTGACCTGTGTACATGAATGTGTTCATGTTTGTGTTTTCAGATAGTAGCATCAGAGCAGTCCATCCATGCTGTTTTAGGAGGACCAGAGCCAGATGTTGACACTGTGGCTGCAACGCTGTCTTTGGCTCTGCACCTTGGCGAGGTAACACAAAATCTGCCTGTTCATAAGCATGTGTTCTCCACATTCTCCATGAGTTAAAATTTGGATCCAGCACTAACTTCAGTTAATTTTGCTTTATCCCAAAATAAAAAAAAGAAAACTAAATCTCTTCATCTTCAAACTAAGAACTAAATCTCTTCATCACCAACTGAGCCAGTCTAGAGCCAAATCAAATTGAAATACATATAAAAAGGGGACAGCAATAAAGAAGTGATACTTAAAATGGAATTTATTGTATTAAAACCTTTACATTTATACACACAAACAGATGAATAATTAAATAGGTTTAAACTTGTTATTCTTAGCGAATAAATACCAGTAAGTAAGTGATCACCATCCATATATAAAGAATCAGCTTTACAATATCTTTTTTAAGATATTTCTACAAATTTACATACCTGCAACCTATCTAAAAGCAACATACTTTTGAGTTGTGACCTAGCAAAGGAATTGCACATTGAAAAACAATTTGTAGAATTTTAGTAGAGTTAGAAATAACTATATAGGAATAGAAATATTATTTAATTAAATTATATACTTAATTTACAGTCATTCTCCATTTTTCTAAAGATGTTGATGGAAGTCTAAACTGTATTTAAATACATTTTTAATTTCTAATGAGGGTTGTGGGTGAAAAACACATAAAAATGTGTATTTTATGTTTGGTAATTCATACATTTATTTGTGTATTAGTCACAATAAGAACATACTAATTATTTATTATTATTATTATTATTAATTATTTTTATAGAAGGAGAAACTGTATGGCAGACTCTGTGTGCCAGTGTTTTGTGGTCAGCAATGTTCCACAGTTCTGCCTGAAGATACAGTGCAGTATCTTCAGACGATGAACATTCATGAGAGTTTGCTGCTGTGGAGGGACGACATCGACCTCTCATCGCTTCATCACACTGGAAAACTCTCTCTCACGCTGCTCAGAGATGGACTTCTAGACAGGTAAACAAACTTTTGTATGCAGTTCAGGTCCAAGTCTAAACTGTGGGTCACTCTGTTGTGAGTTCAGCTAATTTTCAGTTATTTAGTTCATGGCTGGGACACAAGGGAAATTCTAGCAGGCAGGAATTGAATAGCGAAGGAAGCCTGAGCAGTTCAACACTGCAACACATATTCACGTTCACAAACACACACACACTATTTATTTATGCAACAAAAGGCTGAGTCCATGTTTGTGTGCAGTTCGGGGCCTACATGCATCCCTAAAGACTCAAAAGGCTGTTGTATTAATGCAAATGCTTCACAATGATCATCACTTTCTACCCTGCAGCCATACATAACACCTCCACCCCTTCGTGTCCTCCTGCCCCCAGGTCTGAGTACCACGCTTTGGAGTCTAGCATCCTGCGAGTGGTCCATCATGACGGGCAGCAGGACACAGGGGACGATGGGGCATCGTTCGCAGTCACAACGGTCGCCAGGGAGATTCGTCAAGAAGCAGCGGAGCACGTCAGAGCAACGCTAAGGAAGACTCTTGGAGGTGAGGCGGGTACAAGCGACCACCAAGGGGGGTGTAATGGGGCGATGAAGGAGGACAGACACAAATCCCCTGACATGACTCGCTTAACACTCACCAGGAGAGATGCAGAAGAAGAGGGATGAGGGCTTGTAAATGTGAATAAGGCAGATGTCTGAAATATGCAAAAGGCACACAATGAATTAGCACAGTGAAAAATGAATCTTTATTTTTTTATTGAACTCTTTCAAATTGCTTTTTCAGACTGCTTTTGTTTTGTCACCTACAGTTGTGTGTCTGTCCATTTTACTCCACTTAATTAAAAGTCTATTTCTATTAAATAACCACTCAATGCCTATGTACAACTTAGTATAATGTAAGGGGACGTGTCCTTGTCACTGTCATACAGGTACAAAGTAAAAATATAAAATGTCATTATAATGTATGGATATATTGTATTGTAATATATGTACCGGTATATATTTTATAATTATATGCATCCATTATTTAAATAAACTGGTAGAGGAGACGATCGTGAAATAATACTTAAAAACATATGTTTTAATGCACCTATTTGCCACACACTCAAACTAATAGTTCCTTCTCCAACATTTGTGTTCATGCCCACCATAGTGAAACAGTGAATGTAAATACCTGTAGCTATGCGAAAGTAAAGGACATGTTCTCCAGCTGTCAGTGTTAATCCACTGGGTGAAGGATGGACAGGAGACTTGACTGATCTCTGCTTCTTTTCTCTCGCTGTGATGAACAGACTGGCAGACAGAGGATGGTCTGTAGGAGGAAAAGTGGATTATTGTGGATGGAGTGAGAGGAGTGAAAGGACAGTGGAAATAATATTTCAATAGAATGATGTACTAAGAGTACTCCAATTTTATAGTTCTTTATGAGGTTTGTGGGCAATTTATATGGGGTGATCGATTTCTAGCGCGCATTTTAGCTAAATCCTTCTAGTGTTAAATCCTTCCTGCTTTGTGCAGTGGAAACTTTTATTCAGGGAGTTAGCTCTCAACACCATGGAGGATCTTAAATATGACAAATTCTAAAAAAAAAAACTTAACAAAACACAATTTCAAAATTGTGAAAATTAATATTTTTTCTACGAACACGAAGTTTCTATAAAAAGGTAGATGTGATAAAACCCTGACTTAACTGTGGATTTTAACATAGGGTCAAAAAATCTGGAAAAGATCTTATCATCAAAGTTAATAGCTCTGCTTATTTACAGTGTACTAATCACATTATGTGTGTGTTGTTTGTGTGTCTGCAGAGGCCCTGAGGCTACAGAGTAAATCATTATGGACCAAACATGGCCGACAGTCATCTGAACTGGAGGAGCTCAGGCAATATTTGGATGAATTAAGGGACATCACAGCAGGTCGAGCCAAGGAGAAATGTGAATATTTGATCATGTTTTGAATTAGGCCTGTGAAGTAAAGATATCTGGGTGTATCATGCAAGTAACGTTACAAGTACTGTTTGTTCTGCATCCACAAGGTGAACACAATCGTGTTAAAAGCATTATAAATAAAGTTTGAAGAGTTCTGTCAGGCAACTGGACGTGAAATTTTCTCAAAGAAGACGTTTCACGTCTCATCCAAGAGGGTTCTTCAGGGCACAAATGTGGTCAATGGTGAGGCTGGTTCTTACCTGGTTTATGCCGTTCAGTGCAGTGAGGAGTGTACTGACCTGTACATTGGGGAGAACAATCAACCGCTACACAGGCACATGGCCCAACACAGGAGGGCCAACTCCTCAGGACAGAACTCAGCTGTTCACATACACCTCAAGGACAAAACACGCTCCTTTGAGGACAACAATGTTCACATTTTGGCCAGGGAAGACAAATGGTTTGAGAGAGGGGTAAAAGAAGCCATTTTTGTCAACCTGGAAAAACCATCACTCAACAGAGGAGGTGGACTCAGACACAACCTATCACTTTTAGGAACAATACCCAAAACTGATTCTCCTCAGTTTCACACAACAAAGAGGCAGGTGACTTAAACCGTTCTGATGGGGACCACAACAACCCATCAGACACTTAATGACTGTTTACACTTTCACAATTGACCCCAAGGAGTATATATCTACTGTACTCCCCACCACCAGTTAGAACTGAAGAACCCTCTTGGATGAGAGGTGAAACGTCTTCTTTGAGAAAATTTCAGACCAGTTGTCTAACAGAACTCGTCAAACTTGACCATGACCTGGAGGACTGAGAATCTTCACAGAGATTATAAATAGAATTCAGTAGACCTTCTGAACCGTAACTGGTGCTCTTAGAATCAGGGCTAAATGTGTTTAAAATGCTGTAGATGAGTAGGATATCAGATTCATAAAAGGGTGTGTAGGAGCTAAGAGGCTAACACATACCAATACACAATGCATTTCAGTACTAATAAGGTACATAGGATATAAGGAGGCCAATATGTACGAGCTGCTCTGGGCTAATTTAACATTTATGTTTATATTGTTAACGTGTATTACACTCAACATTGCTGAGTTCTGGTTAACGTATTGGTTGAATGTTTCACTACAATGAAGTGAAGGAAAAGACAAGTAACAGGGATTACATAGTTCATATTAAAAATATTTTTACAATATAAAGGTTGTTGTTGCAATGAACTAGTCTCACAAATGGTGAACTCTTTGGTCTTAGGTCTGTAGAAAAGGCTAGGCTGTATGCCCTTAATATAAGTGATAAGTAGTACCCACAGGCGAACTGTAGTTTTCTTTCACCTGTTCACCATTGGGGAAATTACACAGACATAGTACTGTGAGGCAGAAATAAAACGGCAACAACGTATGTAGTGATTTGATTATGTTTACAGTTTTACAGTTATGTGTTAATATAAACAGCTCTGTTATCTACATGTTTACACTCAATGTGGGTTTTAAGTGGTTAAAGAGTGACAAAGCAAAGTGGGAAACGAGTACAGCCAACAAATGAAACAAAGGAAAGGCAGACAGTGAAACAAACAGCCTGAAGCGTTGACATCCCATCCCAGCTGAAAACAAGTCTATAGAAACTTAAAACCAGAGTTTCGATTTCAAAAGTCCTCATTCTTGAAATATTCAATATTAAAATATCACTGGTCTTGGATCAGTGTTGTGTCAGAGCACAATACATAAAATGGACACACCCCTGATGTCTGCTTGGACAACATAATGTAAATATGACAGAACACAATTAAATGTTGACATTAGTATAATTTTAAAGTAGCACAATCAGGTAATGTTTTTGTAAATACAAAGCCTATTGTTTCTTTTTCCTTTCCTCCACTTGTTTAACTCGTTTATTCCTTTGAATCTAATCATAGCTGCCTTTGGTATTTGTAAAAGGCATTTCCTTATTTTGCTTTGTTTGCAACAGTGGTCTCAGACTCCTGTTTGCAATGTGTGAAACTTATAAATGTTTTTTTAGATAGTGTAAGAGTGGATGTGTGGCAGACATATCTCTTCAACTACAACTCATGACGTTCAAATATGGGTGTAACATAGAGTGTATTTTTTGTGCATTTATTCTTGTACTTCTTTCTGTCTGTTGTGGATCTTATTTCCGTGTAATTTTGTTGTGTGTTCCATATGTGTTTGTTATGTGTATATAACTGTTAGCCTGTTTGTGTGTACTGACTGGATGCAGACTTGGAACAGCTGCACACAGCGGAGCTGAAGGAGTTTACTGGTGGGGGAATGACAATAGCATTGTCTTCAGTCACCACAGAGAATGAGGTATGTTTTCAACGTAAAGACTGTCTGAAATACCAATTTTTCATTTTGTTTCAATCAAATTATTATACTAATACAGTGTAATAATGCAGTTTTAACGCCTTCCGACTGCACTAGGCAGAAAACCTGGTTATGATATATTTATCGAGTTAATGGGTATGTTGTCAAATGTGAAGATAAGGATGATTAGAATAAGATCAAACTAGACAATTAAAGACACAACTATTACTATAATTAAACTATTTAACGGTCAGTATTTAATATAATGCTTTAACTGACCTTAAACTTAACAGCCATGACATTAGAGTATTGTATATATTATTATATACTTTGGTGCATGTCCCTGTCATTGTCATGAGTAATTTGAGAATATTTTAGATAAGTTTGAAAGTAAAAGCTATATATTTTTTTAAATTTCAAAGTTACCTTAATGGCTTTATGTTTTTTTGTTGTTCTTTTTTTTGAGAACTTCACACCTATGTCGTTTTAGGAAGTGCTGCATTCTTAGTAGAGAAGCCCCTGTGGTGTCGTATCTAAATGAGATGCAGACATAAAAACCTGAGAGCTTTAAACAACATGCAGCTAACTTCCTCCAACTGTTATACTTCAGCTCAACACAAACACAAAAGCACACGCACGTGCAAATTCACACAAATGTTCAAACTCACTGAGGAAATGTTAGTGGTAACGGTTCCATCTTTTTCCACTGATTTTTCTTAGTTCTTTTGCTTGGCATTTTACACAAACATAAACTATAAATGTGAAGGTATTTAATTATATTCGTTAAACCTAATTGCTATCCTTAATAACAACCACTAAATTTCAAACACTGCGCAGACACCCAATGACTAAAACTAAGCGTAACAACATAATAGTTGGACTAGTGTTGTACTCACACGACAAAAAAAAAAAAAAACAATTTTCTACAATCTAACCTTCCAGTTGGCTTCTAGCCACAAACTCAACAGGCGATAATGTCTAGTTATATGAGCTGCACGACGACCTCCCGACATCCAATCTGCATATTTGTCAATAAAAACCACTATTTAAATGCTTACCTCTAAACACAATTTGTAGGGATACATCTAGTACTGAAATATTACAAATAGGCCCCCAACTAACATTTAAATAAACACACAGTTTACTGTAATTAGCATTATAAAATTGATTTATTTGTATGCTTTGATTAAAGTTAGGATAACACTAACCTTTATGTAAGTAATTATATTAGGTGTCCTAAATAAATAAACAAAAGTAACCAAAAAACACAAAAAGCCTTGACCCGAACCTTTTTCATAAATAAATGTCTTAGTGCTAATTTTAAATGTAATACTTAAACCATAAAAAAAATCCTCATATTTGGTCAGGCCCTGCAAATTGTCTGAATGTCCTCACAGGTACAAACACGTATGCACGTTCACACACACAGAGAAGACTTTTACTACTAACTCTGGCTTTTCTCTGCTGTCAGTCCCCTCCTGCCACCTTCTATAAAATAAAAAAATAAAAATTATTCATTATTTCTGTTATATCTCTTTCTCACTCCTAAAGCCCATTTTTCTCAGCGGCTGCCTAGTGTGCAGTATTAGGCTATGTGTAAAATAAATGATGTCTGTAGCCGTAGGGGTATGGCTCTGCCTCCCCCAGAAAACTACCTAACGTCCAAGGAACATTAAACACCCAGATCCTCGTTTAGCGAATAAATAACCATTCATTTGAATGGCTTTGTCTGTGTGAGAGCGCCGGACTTTCTGTGCATATTTTACCAGCACTGAGTCTGCATGCTGCGTGTGTGAGAGAGAGAAAGAGAGAGAAACACCATTAGAGTTAATATAGAACAAATGGCCAGGGGCCTGTGTGTCGCCAGCGGACCTTCCAACTCCACAGCGTCATGGTGGGTTACTAATGACCTGAGATCAGGCTCCAAAATGAAGCCCTTATATGCACGTCATTTGCAGTGTGTATATATTTATATATTATTTTTTAATTGTGTTTGAAAAGAGAGCAAAACGGCATCCGCAGTATCACTCATTGAGGAGCTTAGGGAAGTTGTGCCTTAAATGATTCTTTCAGGAAAACTAAATAAATTAGATTCAATTAGACTCTAATGGTTTATGTGTTATGCATTTGTCAGAGTGTGTTTTTTGGTGCAGGGTTGTGTGGGTTTAAAAGCAGTTAAACAGGACGTAGCTGGAATTTGAGGTGACATAACTGTGACTGTCTTGTAGGCAGAAGAAAAAGCTTTCCAGAGTGCTCGGTGTAATGATATGGACACATTGTATAGACTGACTAATGGACATTTGTGCATTGTATAAACATGCATTAGTCAGTCTCTCTGCTTGAGTGAAAATGAATGTTTGTGAAGTTTAGTCTTCTCAAAATTACACAAGGACTGCCAGTATTTTCTCGTGTTGTGTTTTTACTAGTATGATCGGGGAATGTATAAAGTTTTAAAGACAGATTTACATTAGATTTCAACATAAAGCTTTTATTACTGCTCAAAATTTGCTGTAGTTTTTGTAGTATTGGCCATATTAAAAGCGATAGTAAATGCTTTCACAGTCTTGTAGCAATATCGAAATTCTGATCTAACCAAATTCTACAGTCTACAGTCAAAACTGTAGTAAATTTAATATTTAACTTGATAAAAGCTTAAGCTACAGCTGAAAAAACAGCTATTCTATAACTTTACCATATATTTAGGTATGGGTTAACAGCACCATATATGTAGTTTTCAAGGGTAAAAGTAGTTAGTACAACTAGGGCAGCCTTCAAGCAGCCACTCATTTTGTGGGACTGAAGTAAAAACGTTCTTATTTTTAGCATTACTCATGGGTCACAGAGAACCATCACCTAAGAAGATATGATATAGTCTTTTAACAAACATAGAATATTTAGTGTACTAACACATAGCTTGACTTGATAATGGCATACGCCAGTGTGTATGTGTATGTGTGCTTGTGTGTGTGTGTGTCAGAAGTTTTCATGGCTCAGTAATTAGCACTGGCAGATGAAGCTATGGTCGGATGAAAAGTCATCATGCTGTGGAGTTGATGAACTGTTGGGACAAAAGAAGCCCGCAGCCACACACACACACACATAAACAAAGTCATAAAAAGTGTTTTTTGTATTTGTTGTAATGGACATTTATTGTCTAAGAATTCTTTCCAACACTGTTTTACTGAGCACATGAGAATTTTGGTGTAAACTTTTAAAAGACAACATGTTTCTTAAAGCCAGTAATTGAAAGTAATAAGTGTTGTGTTTTGTGTGGTAAACAAAATAAATCATCTCTTTCACACAAGACGGCACTAGTTTGTTTCTAAGATTTGTTTCGCCTTACTTAATGTACGTTCTTTTGTGATAGTGAGTGTGTCCGTTCTTTCATCTGTTTTAGTTTTATGTTGGCATCGTTGATTGTCTCTAATGCGTTGTTTGTTCGTAGTCCTGCGGCCCTTCTGTTTGTTTATGCGGGGCCAGTTTTGCCCGTACACCACTTGCACAAATAATTATAGTAGCTAATGAAGGGGCCTGCAGCCACAGCACTCACTAAATGCCTTTCTGATGAGAGGCACGAAGAGACAGCAGGTGCAGGGTGGGCCTCCCAGGGACAAAGATTGAAGACCAGGGAAGCATAGTTCCTCACCCCATACTCCCTATCTCTATGGTTGTATATTCCCTGTGACCAGGCTAAAATATTGCTGCACAAAGCTGCAAAGGTAATTATTCATATATATATAT